CCCAGACAGGCACACATCGTCCCAGGCTCCTGGATCCAGGACAGTGTGAGTCGAAGGAGGCGAGAGCCCATGGGCTTCTTTTCAAGCAAGGAATTCCACATTGCACGTCCACTCTCCCTCCCCTCTGTATTTACCAAGTTTTCTTCTATTATTCTATCTCCATGTCTCTTCTTCTTTTTGTCTACATCTCCTCTTTGTACAAACATTTTGGAATTATTTTTATATATTATATATGTATATGTATATGTGTATGTGTATATGTATATGTATATAAATGAAATATAAATCCAAAGATGGAACATCAGACCTCAGGACTAAATAAACCATAAACTAGGATAAGAAATGTACCCTAAGGAGATGGGGATGGGCTGCAGCAGCACCACATGATAAGTAGGATATTTCACCACGGCTAAGGTTGAGCTTCCTGGCAGCCAAAGCAAAAATGGGAAGCTACAATATATAATTTGGAATATCTAAGTAGTGTGGACAGACAATCTGCCCTCAGATGAAACAAAGGTTTTTCCAGCGCTTAGCCAAAAAGAACATTTTTCACGTGTGTGTGTGTGTGTATATATAGGTGTCACTGACTGACACCGAGTAGTGTCAGACACAGGTGTCCCCGGCCACATCCCTGAATGTCCATGCAGTAGTAGTTTTATAAGCCTATTTGTTAGAGTGTTCTTTGGGGGAAAAAAAAGCCAACAAAATAGTCCCAAGTACAACTCAGTGAGAGTCTTTAGAAAACATGGAGGCAAATGCAATTTTCTGGTGACTTAGTTGGATCCAACAGCATTTCCCAAACTGTTTCTCAGTACCCCCAAAATTTTATGTGGCAATGAAAAGTACTCTATAGGAAACTGGTTCCACAGTCAGAGAAGTTCAAGATAAAATCTGGATTAAATAAAATCAAGCAGGTTAACAATGGGATTTCAAAGAGCTTTTAACACTCCAGCATCCATGTGAATCTCCAAGTTCAGGTAAAGGACGCATTCTCTCCCATGTTTGTCTCTGGAACCTTCTTCTCCACCCACCCACATTTTTCCAGGAGTACCTTTTAAGAAGCTCACAGAAAGCTAGAGTTGCATGGACATGGTATGAAATATTAAGATCTGGAAGAATGGGTGAACTAAACTCCAACTAAAATATCTCTCAGCCAGGTGTTTAGTAGAGTTGGCCCATTGGTAGTCTAAGGCCATGGCGTCCAACTGGGACCAGACTTCCAGTGCTCTGTTATTCTGGTGATGTAATAAGAACACCTCTTCCTCCAACCCCTCTTTTCCTGGACTCATCTTCTGTATCTTCTCAGTTCACACAACTGGAGGTCACAGGAAAGAGGTTGCAGAAGACAAAGACAAGGACCTTTCGGAACCCAGGAGACGCTCCACCTCCACCACGTGAGGACAGACGGGCTCCCCTCAGGGCCCGGCCACATGCAAAGGGTGGGGTTTCCTTTGCCCATGGCTTAGCTCCATGGAGCTGAGGGAGCAGTTAAGGGGCTGGGGTCTCAGGACTAGACCCCAGGAGGTAGACAGAGGGGATCAAGGAAGAATTCCAAGTTGAAGTCTGAACTAGAGCCAGGCAAAGAGATAAGAAGTGAGAGGGACTGGAAAGTAATTTCAGAGGTGGCATTGGGAAATGGATCTAGACCCTAGAATTACTGTGAATTCAAAGAAAATGTGGCCTTAGGGTTCGTTACCTGATTTCTGAAACCTCAGGGAGAGAGGCACGGTGATGATTCTGAATTGGTCAAAAGTGGCTTCATCTACAGCCCATCAGCTGACAGTTCCAGGCTTTGGGGCTTAAAGCAGGGCCATCGACAACTCAACATAGATCTGGGTTTGGGACCTGACCTGCCAGATGCTCCCCAGCCGAAAAGGCTTCTAGAGAAATCATGTACATATGGAAACTTTGAAAGGGCCAGACACAAAAAACACATGTCTGGGGATGTACATCCCAGGATTGCTGATAATGCTGGAAAATGGGAAAGCCTAGACATGGTCCTCATGGGAACTGATTCATGAAAATACGGTACATTCGTGAGACAAAATATCCCACCCCCTTCAGGAATGTTTGAAGTATGTGTATTAATATGGAAAGAAATGCATGATAAACTCATAGGTAAAAATACAGGTTATCAAAATATAAATAAATAACAGCGTCCCCTTGTAATGGGCAAACACTTTCTTTGTAGAAGTATGCACAGACAGAAGTCTGAAAGGAGATCTCGAAACTGGTTTTCTGTGGGCTGTGAGACTGCTGATTACTGATATTCTTTTTCTTTTTGTTCATCAGCAATTTCCTTTTCTATAAATAAACATGGATTTTCTTCACGTAATTATTTTTTAAAAACAGTAAAAGAAAGCAAAGCACAGTTTCGAATGTCCCGCAGTGGGTGCTTTGTCTCTCCCTCTCCTCTGTACTTGATCTTCATCATGTTGATACTGTGACTTTGTTCCAAATGCTATTCTTCTGTCTCCTCTAGCAGACTGTCCTCAGACCACAGATGCTTGGGGATGGGAGAGGAAGGGGGGCGGGGGGGCGGGGGAGGTGTAGGGGGCAGGGTCCTGATGTGCACAGAGGCAGGAATTCTAGAATAAGGCTGTGAGCTGAGACACCAGCCAGCTCAGGGCAGAGAGGACCGAAGACGATGGGGCATCTGACTGGGGCACAGTGCTTGGTGGACGCTGGAATGTGGAGCGACCGTGCGTTGGCCAAAATCAGAGGCCAGGCATGGATCAAACACTTTAACCTCATGACGTTGCTGTTTTCTCACTCCTCCCCTGGTGAACTTGAGACAGGCCTTAAGCTCAGATCAGCAATGTCTTTGCAGGGTGTCGGTCCGTGGTTACCAGCACGACGTGCCCAGGGGGTCCATCGGGAGAACTAGCTCTGGCTTCCCCACTGGAGTGGACTATGGAAGTCTATCTCCCTCGAGGCTGTACTTCTCAAGCTCCGTAGAGCCACAGGGTTGAAGGAAGCCACTGGACAGAAGAAAATGCACTTTAAAGGGGGGGAAATAAAAGACTTTACAAAGAACAAATGAGTTCATATTTGTACAGCAATTAAAAAACAAATATATTTTGTTTGAAGATGTGGAAGGACTCGAAGGTTTCAAATTTTCTTATTACAGCAAACACAAACATAACACAGAGCAGAATTGAGAATCCGAGATGAATTTGCATGTTACGTCTCTGGAGACATTTTGTACTTCCCTTGAGACAGTGCTGATTCAGGCTACGCTCCAGATCCCTGCACATATACACTCCTCCTTGAAAGGCACCAGCTAACCAGATCACAAACCATCTTATCTCCATGTCCCTGGGAGAGATCAATGACATCGAGGTCGGTTACAAAGCAAGGTGCCTACCTTACTGAGTCTTCCCTGAGCAGTCAGATGGAGGTGGGGGGCTTAAGCACTGTCTCCCACAATTTCCTACAATGTTAATGTCTCCGTTTGACCAAATTAAAATCAGAGCCTCAATGAAGCTGAAATGACTTGCCTAAGGTCACACGGCTAGTCAAGTGACAAGCGCCGGATGTCCAGTTTAAAGCCAGTGCTGATGCTAGATCATTAAGCCAAAGCACCTTTAAGAAACAAAGTACTGGGGCACCTGTGAGGTTCAGTGGGTTAAGCGTCCGACCATTGATCTCAGCTCAGGTCTTGATCTCAGGGTTATGAGTTCAAGCCCTGCATTGCCCTACTAAAAATAAATAAATAAATAAATAAATTCCCAAACTACCATGGCAGGATGCAAGAAACACGATGGAATGTGCTGTGAAAAGCCATCATTCTCAGGAGCAGTAGTCAAAGGAACTTCCATGTTCTACTTTTTATTTTCCAGTAATATTTGAGCTGTTACAACCAATATATTTTCCTTTTATTTAAAACATTATTTATTTATTTATTTAAGAAAGAGAGAGAGAGAGAGAGAGAGATAATAAGCAAGAGAGAGCATGAGCAGGGTGAGGGGCAGAGGGAGAAGCAGGCTGTCCGCTGAGCAGGGAGCCATATGTGGGGCTCCATCCAGGGACTCTGGGATCACAACCCCAGTTGAAGGCAGACGCTTAACTGACTGAGCCACCCAGACGCCCCGTAATAAATTTTCTTAATGATGGTTGCCCAGTGATATCAAATTTTCCTCTTTAGACACGACCCATAAATAGTTTCCCTTGGTCTGATGACAAGCTCACCCAGCAAGCGACCTTCTTGATTATTTCGCTTTCCCTAGAGCTGGCTAGAAGAGGTGTGGGGGCGGGGAGGAGCACTAGCCATGCTGACGTCACTGTGTTGTCCGCCTGATTTTCTATTTCTCATTATAAAAGAATACAGCTCAACAAATTTTTTCTCCTCCATCCCCAACCCTTCCCAGGGTTTAGCAGACACAGAAGAGTAGTATTTGATGTGAGTCAAAGCAGCGAAAAGACAGATTCCCTTTGAGCATGGGAACACACAGGCATTCGTTCACTCTTGGCCATGTACGGGTTGATCGTCTTGTGATGCTTGACCCTGCGTCTGACAGCAAGTAAAGGCTTCATCTTCATCTCTTTTCTTCATCTCTTGCTATGTTACTCGGAAGACTTTCTCATGCAAGGGACAGAAATCCAGCTTGAGCTGGCTGAAGAATGAAAACAGGGGTGGGTTTCATAGATTAATATAACTAAAAAATCTGAAGATAGAGCTCTTGCTGCAGGTATGGCTAGATCCAGGCGTTCAAATAATGTTATGAGGGCTGTTTCTGACTCTCTTCTCATCTTTCTTTTGCGCTCGCCTTACTCTCAGACAGGCTCTCTGACCCGGTGGTCCTAGCAGGCCCAGGGGCCCATCCTCCAGTTTGGAAACCTAGCAGTAAGGGAAGCTTCTCATCGGAAGTTCCAGAGTTGAATCTCATTGGCTTGGTTTAGATCACTTGCCTGGGTGGAAATCAACGGCTGCAGCCAATAGGACGGACGGAATACGCTGATGGGTTTTGCTGAATCTCATCCCCTTCCCCCTTCCTCAGAATGGGAACTACAGTGGTCAGCAATGGTTGCCTCAAAGAAAAACAGGACCGGCCCCTGGAGAAGGCAAGATGGATGCTGGGCATGGGGTAAAAACGGAAGCCCAGAGTCAGATCCGAGGCCCCCTTCAGCTTGACTTGGGGGAAAGCATTAGTGGGAAGAAACAACCGGTCAAGCTGAGGGCCAAGAAGAAACACCTTGGCAGAGGCGGAATTTGGGAACTGGATTTCCAAGACAGAAGCCCAGTCGGGGGTGGGGCAGGGTGGAGCAGGAGGGCAGTGCCTGCCCCTTGGGGTGGAGGAAAGAGCTGGATGGAAAGAGCTGGACCCTGTGTGGCCCTCAACAGGTGACATGAGCTGGAAAGGACCATTCGGCACGTCCTCCTGGAGTCAATGCAGCCGACGTGAGGCATGTTTTGAAGGAATGGACTGTGCCACCCCACGCTCCGATGGTCAAGGCAACGTAGGGGGATCCCGTTTTCTTAACTGCATGCTGCACACGTCCGTCAGTTCCCCGTGAGTCCTGCCAGGTGGATTCAGCCGCCTGGAGGCCATGTGAACTGGTGAGACTGAGTTCCTGGGAACCTGACCTTGGGTCCTGGCAGATTCCACCGGGCCCTGGCCCCATGGGAGTCCGTCCACCTGGGAGGCTGTCAGCCGGCCTGCCCTGACCACACCCCGTCTTTGCTCCCGGGCCTCATAGCGCCTCGATTACAGGCTGTGGTGGGACCCCAGGAGACCACCTGGCACAGGGCTTGGCTCACAGTAACCCCAAATAAAGGGCAGTGGCTCTTACGACCCCCAAGGACATATGTTCCCCACGCCCAAAAATAACACCTGTCATTGGATAGGTGCAGGCAAAGCAGGCCCCAAGGGTGATGCTCGTGACTCCGTAGCTGTCCGTACAGCTGCTGGGACAAGGAAGCACCTGGCTACAGTAGCAGGTACAAGAGAGACCCATGAGCAGTTTGGGTTTGGGTTTTTCTGTGTGGGCCCGGGCTTTCTTCCCATGCCCCACCACCCCTTGCCACTCACTCAGTTGTTTTTTTTTCCCCCTTCATGTCTCTTTTACACGAGGTCACCTGTCAGCAAATGTGCTCAAAGCACAAAACTGTTGTCCACCCATCTTGACCTCTGGAAGGTTTTGTCTGAAATCTGGCTAGGGGTGGGATTTCTCAAAGTGGGTTCTCCCGGCCACCCTCATCAACATCAGGATCAGAGATGTCTGTTAACTGTGACCAGAGGTTCTTAAATCCCACCTAGACTTGCCAGAGGATTGCAGTCTTTGGGTTTGGGGCCTAGAGATCTGCATTTTTTAAAGGCTCCAGGGGTCAGGAGAGGGTGGGGATCCTTATGCATCTGAGAGCTCATCAGGTACCATCTTGCTGAGGCTCCTGAGACACCTGGTCCCAACCGGAAAATCCTGACTCACAGTTCCGGCCCTGCCCCCTCCGGCCTTCCTATCAGGCAACTCAAGGTCCCCAGGCTCACGAGTTACTGATTAACCCTAGGTTTCCAGAAAATAAATAATAATAACTCGGGAGAAGACATAAGCCAAGAGCCAAGCTGAGCAGCCCCAGGAGAAGGGGTGATAAACGGCTGCTGTCACCAGGCGCCTGACGAGGAGGCGAGGGAGGCTGAGACGCCCGGCCCGAGGCCAGACAGCATCCAGGTCCCAGCGGCGCCGGCGGTCGCCCTTCGTCCACGCCCAGGCCCCGAGTTGCCTGGTCCTGCTGACTCCGAGCCCAGAATGGCTTGTGCAGACATCCTGCATTCGCGGGTCCCAGAGCAGCCCCAGCCCATCTCCGCAAGAGCCACATCCCCCTCCGCCAAGGCCGCAGGCCCGACAAGGGGGCACTGGGGCTCCGCGGATGGCGACTTGGAGTGCTTGGTGTGCCGGGAGCCCTACAGCTGTAACCGGCCGGCCAAGCTGCTGGGCTGCCAGCACTCCTTCTGTGCCGTCTGCCTCAAGCTCCTGCTGTGTGTCCAGGACAACACCTGGTCCGTCACCTGCCCCTTGTGCCGCCAGGCCACCTCTGTCCCCGGGGGCCTCATCTGCAGCCTGCGCGACCAGGAGGCCGTGGTGGGGCTACTGGGCCGGCCGTGGCCGGAGGTGCGGCTGTGTCCGCAGAGACTGGCAGATTCCGCCCCCTTGGCGGCAGGGCACCCCGGCGTTGCAGGAGAGGATGAGCAGGACGAGGCGAACGCCAACCGCGTGGCCGCCCGGCGCCTGGCCGTGCACTTGATCCTGCTGGTCTTGCTCATTGTCCTCATTCTGCCCTTTGTCTACCCGGGCGTCATCCAGTGGGTGCTTGCCTTGGTGATCGCCTTTGCCCTGCTACTGTCCTTGGTCTTCTGCTGTCACGCCAGCAGCCAGGGCAGCTGCTGTCCCTCCCCCGGGACTGTTTTCTGCCGAGGACGGAAACACAGCGAGATCTCTTCCATCGCCTAAGCACGCCCTGAAGAGACGGCACCTGCTGCCTCTTGGGCCCTGTTAGGCTCACAGCGACCAGGTGAAGGGACCCTGAACGAAGGCTGCTTCCCTTGGAGGATTAAATACCCGTTGGACTTGCGAGCCAAAGCCGGGTTGTGTTGGGTCCAGAACTATGTGCCTGGGTGTTAGACTTAACGTCTGCCCGGGACACAGCGCATCTAAACCGCCCGGGGTCTTAGAGGGGGCGCAGATTCCCTGACCGCCGCAAGGGGCCCGGTTTCCTCTTACTCTAATGCTCCTGGGTTTTCTTTGTATACGTTGATGAACTTACTGCAAAACAAATAGAACCAAGACTCCTTTTTTTGCAACTTATGTAGGTGGTTTTATTTTCTCGCTTTGTTTTGGTTCAGTCTTTTGTGTTTTGAGGCAGTTTGTTTAGATCTGTGACTCTGACACATTTTCCTCCTGGGAAGTGGGAGGTGTGTCCTCCCCCCCCACCCCCACCCCGGGAAGCCCTCCTGTGCTGTCCAGCTCCACGAAGGTCCTGGTGGTTTGGGTGTACCTGTGAGTTGCCTCCAGGGATGGAGGAGGGGAATTTGTGTGAAGGAGTGGCTCTGGGGCTGCTGGGGGTCCCACGTTCATTCAGCAGAGTTGGGGAGGGATGGAGAGCATGTAGGGGAGTCTGGGAATTGCTCCAGTACACCCACCGGATTGCCCAGGCCCATGTCATTGGGCTCTGGCTTCTCAGAGAATCTCAAGGTTACAAGGACTCCCCCAGCCCTCACCCAACAGCAGGTTCCAACGCTCATCAGATGCGCGGTCTCACGCTCAGTTTGGGTGTTGCTTTTCCTGTGTGATTGCATTTCAACTCCCATCTGAGCTCTTGTCATAAAGATAAGAGGCCCCATAAATGCAACAGTTCTTGACAATAACCCCACCTCTCCCGCCTCACCCTGACAGTCGCTGCCTTCTGAAAGCCTGCTCTAGAACATAGAGGAGGCTTCTCCCAGAGGGAGGTCTCAGCTAGAGGAGGGGCTTAGGGATCCAGGGGAGTGGAGGGTGGGAAACGACGCCTTGTTTCCCTCCAAAGGCCTCTTAATTGGGAAGCAGACTTGAAACCTCAGGGGGCTCACTGGGCACAATCCATTGTCCTTCCCCACCCCCACTTTGCCTCCTGGGAGGATGACAGGTGCACGCACATTGGGCATTTGTTCATGGCTATTATGCCTCTGTAAGAGAGGGATGACAGAAGTCAGCCACTGGAGCCCGAAGGGAGGACTCTGGCCCCGTGGGTATGTGCTGTCCAGCAAGATCATTTGCCTCTCTGTGTTTCATTTTTCCCTGGAATGAGCTCATTGGACTGGATTATTCCTAAGTCCCCCGAAGCCCAGGAGCGGCAGCATGGCTGGGCCCCTGAGCAGTGGACAGGAGTCACATCCCCTCTGAACTCACACAGAGAAAACTCAAAACATAAGGATGCATGCAAATCACCGTTCTTGCAATCTGGGTGCCTTCCTTTGTTTCTTGTAAAGGTATTTCCAGGGCAACTCTGGGATACCCGTGCTATTGTTACTCCTCGTGCTGGCAGTGTGTGTGAGTGTGAGTTCTTCAGGTGAGCTTGAAGAACACCCTGTCTTCCCATGATGAGCAAATGATGGAACTTGTTCTGCATTTCCTGAGCTGGCCTCGGGCATGTGCCATTTGGGATGGTTGCCAGTAGGACAGAGAAAGAACATTTCCCCCCCGCACCTCCACTCACGTTCCATCCGGTTCTCGGGACCTCCACCAAGAAGAAACCTCCACCAAGGTTTCAAGTTGCCAATGACAACCCCATTTCTACCATCATAATGGTGAGCACATATTTACTGAGTCCTGACAATGTGACAAGCACCACACTAACTGCTTCACACGAATTTTCTAGCTGAGTCTTCATAACAACCTGATGAAGTTGAAATCATCTTGCCAATGAAGAGACTAATGGTCAGAGAGGTAAATTCCTCTGCCTAAGGTCACACAGCCAATCACTTCTAGAGCTCCCCCAAGGAATTAATCCAGAGCTCTTTCTGTTCCATCAAGCTGTCTCCCTTATGTGCTGGTCCAGAATGACCAGGAAGCTGGTTGCTGCCTGTGGGCTTGCAAGGGATAACAGGAAAAACCTCAGGAGGCTCTGAATTCCAGTGGTTAGGTGCCAAGAGGGGCCACAGAATTCTGGAATCTATGGTCTACACTAAAGAGAAAGAAAAGGGGCTCCTGCGTGGCCCAGTCAGTGAAGCGTCCAACTCTTGACTTCAGCTCAAGTCATGATCTCAGGGTCGTGAGATCCAGCCCTGTGCCAGGCTTCACACTAAGCATGGAGTCTGCTTGAGATTCTCTCTTTCCCTCTCCCTCGGTCCCTCCTCCCATGCATACACACACACTCTCAATCTCTCAAAATAAATAAATAAAATATTTTTTTTAAAAAGCAGAAGAAAGAAAAAGAAAAGAGAATGATGAAAATGGAATGGGTTTTCTATAGACTTTGACTACCCGGTCCCAACCTACCCCTGAAGGAAGCTGCGTTGGCACATGGTCCCCAACCAGGGGGCCCTCCATCCCCCTGGCAGAAGATGTCTTGACGCTGCCGTCTTCACGCCCTCGGAAGGCAGCTGGTCCCAAGCACATTCTGGACCCTGGCTGTCTGCGCATGGAGGGCACTAGAGGCCGGGATTGGTGCTGGCTGTCCTGAAGGGCTGGGGGAGAACAGAGGACACAGGCAGCCCTGTGAAAGGATGCCTGTGAAAGAGAGGCAGGCCTAAGCCCAGAGCTAAGCTCTGACCCAATGTGTGACGAGTAGACATTACAGAACTTCTCTGAGCCTCACTTTGCTCACCTAAAGTAGAAGATGATGCCACACTCCTCCCAGGGTCCCCACGAGGATTTAGTGCTACTGGATGAGAATCCCAGGTCCTAATAGTCTGCCTTTATCATCAATCAGTGACCTTTGTGGGTGATTGAATCTCTTGGGGCCTGTTCAACGTGACAACGGGCAGGGGGGCGGGCCTTGATAGTGGGGTGAAGCCAGCCCAGAATGGGAGCATTATCCAAGCCAATCTGGTAGACAGCTTGGTGTTGAGGTCCTAAGGATGAAGAGAAATTGCAGGCAGAAGGCAAATTTCATCCTTATCAGACCATCTCCCCATTCTGGGGCCTTGGAGTCAGACGTGGCTGACTTGATCCCAGCGTCACCATCCACAAGCCTCATCACCTGTCTGAGGCTCAGGTTCCTTACACATGAGTACGTGTCTCATAGGGTTGTGGGGAATAGTGAAATAGCCCATGGCTGAGCCCTTGGGATCACAAGGAGTTAAAGAAGGGCGGGAGAAGACAAAGAGAAAGAGATGGGTTGAGTTCTAGAAAGCACTAACAGGAATGATGAGGACAGGCTCGTCTTATTCTATTCAGTCGTATGGATAAGGAAGTCAGTCTACTAAAGCCTGGGCACTAGAATTCATCTCTCCTGTTTTCACCCTCAGCATCAGCAGCGTCTCAACAACAGTTAATAAAATAATCAGTAACATGACCTGAATGCACCGTACAAAGCGTATTACATATGTTATCACATAGACCATAAGATAGATACTATTCTTAGCCCCCCAAATGACCAACAGGGCTGCTCAGGCACAGAGAGGAGAAGGAACTGGCTCAAGGTCACACAGTGAGGCCATGCTGGAGCCAAGAGTGCACCACCGAAGTCCAGCTCCAGAGTCTGGACTTTGAGTCATTTAGCTGTACCTGATGGAACATTCCTGGCATATCATGAGTGTTCACGGCATGGGGGTGCCCCAGCCTGAAGGGCAAAGAATTAAGAAGAGATGGGTTTCCTCTACTTGGTTATAGCTTCCTGGATTAGCGGGTGCTTGGGACACAGAGTTATGGGAACCCACCTGACCCATTACCCACCGGCATTTTCTCATCTCCTCTGATAAGACCCTATTCACTGTTGGAACCTCTTTTCAAATGCCTGGAGGAAGTTTTTCAGCCCTTGCTAAAGCAATGTATTCTTAGTGGCAGAGGAAAGCTTTTCCAGGAATGAAGGAACTGCCTGCCATTTCTCGGGCTGTAGGAACAGCATAGAACTCATTCAAAGAGAAATTTTAAAAAGTTTTTTAATCTGCCTGGAGCTGTTCTTAGGAACTTTATACTTTGATCTGAATATACTGAAATCACCTTTTTTAAAAGGGGGAGGGAGCTATTTCCTGGGTCAGTAGAGAACTCTCTGAAGAATTCAGAACACTCTGGAACTTAGGATCCATCCATGCATTTATTCAACAAACATTCATTGGACACCTGCTGTATGCCAGGTATCTAACCTTATTCCATAAGGAAGTTTGCTGAGGAAAGAGAACTACTATGCACTGAGCACCCGGTAGGGGTTGAACTGTGTCCCCCTCTCGGAAAGAAAATATGTTGGAGCCCTAACCCTCACTACCTCAGAATGTGACCTTCTTTGGAAATAGGGTTTTTATAGAGATAATTAATTCAAAATGAGGTCATTGGGGTGGGCCCCAATCCAATATGTCTGATGTCCTTCTAGAAAGGGGAAGTGTGGACGTGGAGACAGATGCACATGAGGGAAGACAAGGTGAAGACTCACAGGGAGAACGCCATGTGGGGATGAAGGTGGGCTGAGATGATGTTTCTACAAGCCAAGGGACGCCAAAGATGGCCATCAAACTACCCAAAGCTGGGAGGAAGGCTTGGAAGGAATTGTCCTCCCCCAGATCTCTCAGCAGGAACCAACCCCACCAACACCAGGTTTTTGGACACCTAGCCTCCAGAATGTGAGGGACAATTTCTGTTGTTTAAGTCGCTCAGTTGGGGACACTTTGTTCACATAGCCCTGGGAAACCCTACCACCCCTCTCCTGGGCCCGTGCTTGCGTGGACTTCTTCATGAAGTCAGCTGGACTTCTTCAAGTTCAGCCTCTAACTCCCCTATGGTCTTGTCGCATGTAAGTGGCAACGTCGGCTCAAGTCACGTCTGATGGGCTCCTAAGACTACGTCCTACCTCTCCCATTTATGGATGGGAAAATGAGGCTCAGAG